CTAGTGTCTAAATTGAAAATTGACCGTTTAACAATAAGAACTAGACACATATGACACTAGTTACTACTCAATTATTATTCATAAAAATTATATATGAGTAATGTCCCAATGGGAACAAAAATTAAGTCTTTTGACGTATCGTGACTTCATCAGAAAACAAATATTAAAATTTATTATTCTTATCCATAAAAATCTACCCAATGCTCAATTTATTTAAAATTATCAAGTCAAACCTTGGTAATGATACCTACATGCTCAACGGTTAGTTAATACGAGTACTACTTAATTATTTTTGTCATCTTGACAGAGGGTAGGTTAAAAGAAAACCCTAATCCTTACGGTAGCTTTTCACTGGAAACATTCTATCACGATTTTTGAAAAATCCCACTAGAAATTTTCTACATTTGTTGGATCATTCAAAGTAATATACCGGTATTGTTTGATATAAAGTTTTACTTTTCCTGAACATTTTTTTCTAGCATTTATCGATTATGAATATTTCTCTACTCTAGAATTTGCCCTAACAATCTCATCTCGCTGTGCTAATGGGGTACAACAATTCGAACCGATGTACATATATACTAGGTCTCTTTCACTGAGTTGATGTTTATCGAAGCATAATGTAAGGGGAAACAATTAATAATCTCGACTAGTTTACGTTAGTAAGGTCATTCTGTTTGATGCTAATGTATCATTTCACTTTTTATTATATTCTCAAGTTCATGAACACTAGTTTTCGCTTAATGAGTTATAAGATGTTTCAGTTAGAACCAAATGTCATACGAAATTAGACTCCAAATCCCTTCAATCTGAAGATGGTTTCGTTACGGATTGATATTAGTTACAGAATCACTGAAAACAGGGGATCTGTAAACAACCGCTTAACATGGGTACGTGATTCCTCAGTAGCATATATTCATGAACCTTCTACAGACTGAACACGAAAATAACGATTATTGCCTCAATTTCGCTCATTTTGGAAAACTCAGTCCAATGGTATACATTTCCAACTTCAGTTAAAAAACAAAACAGTGGGACAGTTATTCCATTTCACTGATAGGTAACAGACTTATTTGGAGAGTTGATTGGTTTGAACGTCTGAAAGAGTCTAGGTACATTGGTGTTCAAGTAGACATAATTCACAGTTTAAGTATTAAAAATTGAAATACCACTTTTAAAACTCACCTTGAGACGATGGTCAAGACTTGAAGTAGGTCCGGCATATGACTGAAGAGTTTCAAGTGGATCTTCTTCATCATTTAACAAGGATAGTGCTGAACTTAATAACCGAAACAACGAAGAAGTTATGAAGTTAATGAGCAAATAAGGATTATATATAAATATACCTAATGTGTGCGGCGATTAACGTTTAGTCACTAAACCGCAAGTTTAAGACTCAACCTATTTCAGTTCTGACAGTCCAGTAGTATCACTGGCCCTTAGATACAAAGTATGGCGCGAAGCCAATTATATGAACTTGTACTTGGTGTCCTGTCTCATCACCGAACTGCAAAGAAATAATCACACGAACAACTTGATTGTACATAGATAAGATTTGGGAAGGGTACAAACCAATTCATTCAAAGGTTTTGATTTCTATGTTCAGGTGAGTTTCTACACAACCCAGAATGCAAACCTATTCTGACTAGTGGTTTAGGAAGAAAATCAGACAACTTTTACACTCACATAAATATTCAAAACCATGTCCAAAACTGAGTTATTAAAGAACCATCAGATGTACCTATTTTTAAAGAAAACTTACTTTGGTGGAACAATGAATCTTGGTCGAGGAGTGGTCGAATTTTTAACAGGTACTAAATTAATTGGATCAGATGTTTCACTGTCAGCAGTCGTAGCATCTAAGATTGAAAAAGATGTATTAGCAAAACTAATTTTAAAAAACTTATCAGGGAGGCAGAAGAAATAGTGTGAAGATTGATTCCTTTTATTTATATTAAAGTCTCGACCACAGTCATTACTTTGATATAGCGATCAGGTTTCCCAAACATAACGATATGTCTGACTTATGATGACTGGAACAGTCACCAGTCGGGTGGATTTAAGAAAGAGGAAACAAATAAAAACACATCTTAGGACCCAGAACTCAGTTTCATTGCTGACTGTAATAGGGTATGGGCTCAGTAAGATGTTTCCGAAGGGTATTAAGCAAATCAACCGATCTTATCTTTTTATGGATATCTCTAAAAAGCTAGATCAAAAAGAGTACTAAGGAATGGTTATCTCTGACCGAACTCAGCCAGTTGTCCTCGGGAGGTTAAACCCATTGGTCCCAGTTCGTTCCCCACGGTGTGGTCAGTCAAGTATTACCCGTTTATACACTTGAGTACAAACACTTTTGAAAATGGAAACAAGTAATATAGTTTATAAACCCACATAAGACGGATAGTTAACAGTGCATACGATTATGTATCAGTCGAGAAAGGGTATCTTGTGTTTGCAGAATGAAGATATAGATCGTTCAATAAGGAAAAATGCTATTCTGTTCGCCTTCTTACTTGAGTAGTGTCTACTAATTGTATTTGTTTGCATTCTTAACGTGAAAAAACTGCGAGGATTTTCCATGTCACAAAAAATAGCGAAATAAATAGTTATTAGAAAACGCGATGAAATCAACAGATTATTTAGAATCATAAAATCTGACATAAAATCAGTCTAATGTACTCACTATTTAAAGGTTAATAATTTCACTTGTCTTATTGTCACTTTATTTAATTTTTATTAATAAACTATTTGATTCATTAATCTATTGACTGCGAAAAGTGATAACAATTTGATAAATATAAACTTTATTATTGAGAGCAAACAAAACATACAATGTACATTACAAAAAGAAATAGAATATCTTACCAATTAAGGTCAATAATTCTGTTTTCTGTAAGTGTTCAAAATCTTGATCCAATTGTAGTGGATTAAAGCATCTCTGACAAACTGGTTGATATGGTATAGGTGAACCAAGTAAACTATCATTACTACTACTAGCACCAACAAATTGTCCAGTTGTAAAAGTGGATGTTTGTTGTGACATTACACACCATTACAATCCTGTTATTGTCTTATTTCCTTATAAATGTAAATATTAAAAAGTGGTTTTATTAAAATGAAAGAATCAAAGAAATTTGTCTGACTCACTATAACATGGTGGATACATTCCGTGTAATTGTTATCTCGCCAATACTTTTCAAGTTCCCAATCCCACTGATCTAATTACAATCAAAACAATTATATTTTTATTATCACCTAGAGTTTATTACACTGTACATGAACCAAGCATGAAATATGCAACTGCCAGCCAAATTTTGGCGAATGTAAAATCGATATTTTGTTTCATTTTGCTTTACTACTCGCACACAAACCAAATATAATCAGGTTTCGTGCTTAGATGTTCATGAGTTTGGATTGAAATTTCATATGATAATTTCGATAAACAAATGATTTCTATAAGACTAGTTGAATTAGGAAGATTTACAGTGTAATATAAAATCTAGTGAATCTGTTTCATATCAATATTATGAATAAAGTTATCTTTAACAAGCACGACAAAACCAAGTTCCCGATTACAGAATCGGTAACTTTTAAACATGAAAAATTAGCTATCCAGGAAAATCCTCCTATTTAACCAAGATCGCTTTGTAGTGAATATTAACACTAGACATAATAAAAGTCCAATAGCCTTTAAGTTTGCAACCAATAAGTTCATAAAGTCTGTTTACAGAAAAAACCACCTATTTGTATAAAAACAGGAAACGTGATTATCATTTACTGTGTCCTAGGTTGTTCGGCTGTGATTTTTAGGTTTATGCGAATTATTGAACTGACTTTATATCAAAACGGTCAACCATAGTAGAAAACAAAGTTATTAGGATATTTTTATAAACATAGCATATCATCAATAATAAAAATTACGCGTATAAGCACAACATTTTGCCCGTCACGTTTTGGCTTTTATGCGTCACAAGACTTCCCCTAACTGATTTCATTTTCAGAAGGGGGTTTCGTGGAGATTTTAGTAATTTATATTGTTGAGATCATAAGTCAATTGAAGCTAGACCACCATGGAAAACCTGGAAGCACTGGACGGTCGCTTTCGTCCTATTGTAGGACTCATCAGCAGTGTGCATCCACGATCCAGCCTTGCGGGATTCGAACCCAGGACCTACTGGTTTCGCGCGCGAACATTTAACCACTAGACCACTGAGCCGGCATCCAACGGTGTTAATGTCTAACTTCAACTAATCCACGAAATTGAGCAACACATCCAACATTGCCATCAGTGAGTTACTATCTCACAACAGACCTGGTTGAACTCCACTGGTCACTGCTTCTCACTAGAACTCCAGGATATACATCTTGAAGTCAGTCACTAGTGAGCATATGTTGATTATTATCATAAGGGGGTTTTGTGGAGATTTTAGTAATTTATATTGTTGAGATCATGAGTCAAATGAAGCCAGACCACCATGGAAATAAAGTATTGGTTAAGTAGGTTTAACTGGTAATTGCCTGTGTAGTGTGTATTGTCTACGGAGTCATTACTGGTCACTTCACAGGTCGCTTGTTTGGTGTACGCAACAATTTAGCACAATGATACAACTGCATAAAGACAACTGAGGCACAATCATAAAAACTGTGTAAAAGTACATACACTTGAAACAACAGACGCTAATAACCTTAGTTTACAAAGTCGTAAACTAGTATTAAATAAATGCCCTGACACCCTACAGAAATCCATCAAAAAGTTAAGTAAGCCCAAGTTGACAGGTTATTCCTGAAGTTGTCCACCTGGGGCACTTGGTAAAGTGCAACTTGCGAGCTATTAAAACGAAGGCAGATTATACATACACTAGGTTTTGTTTTCTAATTACAGTCAACAACTCTATTCACGGTCGGTATCATTAATTGCACTAATTATGATAACAAATCATCTTTACAGGAACAAGCCCAAGCACAAATGATTGGTAAGAGACAAGCAAAACTAGTTATTGTACACAAAAAAGTATTTATATATTTTATATGGCAGTTGACATTACATATACACATGTAAAAGAAAATCAACGGTTTAAATACACAGTTCCATAAAATTATACAAATCTGCACACTGACAGATAATCATTAGAAACCTTTATGTATATAATGATAATAACCATAATTATAATATAAGAAATGGTTCCAAATCACAGACTGATCAAGTTTCATCTCAACTATTTTGTTGTGAAACAAATATGATTAACATTGCTTTACCACTATTAATAGTAGTCTCGTCGAGGATTGTTCTAAAATAAATAACAATAATAACATTGATTAACTGAAGACAATAATGATTTACACATACTAAAAAAAGAAATACAATGGCAAGCAAAAACCTCACTAAGTTTAACTAACAAGCCTCGGACAAAATAGTCGGAATTCAAAAAGTAGAACATTAGGTTGATCCACCTTGCGTAAGTTGAGTTACAACGTCCTCAAATTCGATACAAGCCAAAGAGCTAATGATAATATCCCATTGCAGGTATGATTAAAACAGATTTAACCGAAACATATGCCGACAATGCTTACATCATTGGTAAAGGTGAACAAAAGATTGCATTTTGTCAGCAACTTTACCCAACAGGACTGCATCGTCTGCATTTTCCAAGTCAGCTAGTTAATCTCCAAGTAGGAAATCAAACCCTTAAAAGTCAGACGATGCGAGCGTTGTCTCCATAAGGATGTCACAAAAAGATTTCAGCCGTTTTTTATAGACTGGGATGGTCAGGGATCAAGATCAGTCAGATGGCATTACATCCAGTCTTCAAATTCTATATAAGATCGCAGCTAATATAACCGCTAAAACTGAACCATCATCCTTAAAAATTTCAGTAGTTAGTCAATCAGTTTCTGCTGCTCTCCATCGTTTTAGATTACTTATAGCCTCTTCAACCTCATTAAGAGTTGGAGAACTCACATCAGTTTGTCATTCAGTTTATTCGGAGATAGTGGGTAACCGAGGTGTGGCTGAAGGTTAAGTGAACTGTTCCCTAAAGTGTTCTACCCATCGGTTCAGTTTCCTGAATTGAGAGTGAATAGTAGTTCCGTCGTTTCCCAAGATATTTTCATTAACAAACGGACTTTTAACACCCGTTTCCTTGATAAGACTGAACAGATGTCTACTGTTACCTATCGCTGAGGCCTTTTCATTTCTTCTGCTTTCGTTACTCAAAACTGCACACGAGCCCCCAAATGCCCTGGTATAGCCGAGTGTGGTGGGCCCGCCCTCCCTCTCGAAATACTCTCACAAGGCCATGTGCATACAGCCTCTGCCAGAGAGGTCCTACTCACTGCCTTCTCGTGGCATTACTGCTGTTTACGAAAATGAGAGGACGAAAAGCGAATGTCCGGCGCTCTAACCGGATCCCAAACAAATGGTGCACATGGGTTCCAGTATCCTAAGGGAACAAATGGCGTATGAACCAATCGTTGGTCACCGGCTACCATGGGACTGCATCTCCTCACGATGCTCCACTGCCCTGTGAGTCAGATATTCAGGTCAAAGGCTCGGGGCGTGGCCCCCTAAGAAAACCACCTGCTTCGGTCTGGGCACCCGGGCAGTATCAGAGCATACACACAAATAAAATGAAACGATGGGCAGAAATCTTCGAAGGGAAGTTCAACTGGCTTGCTGCTCGGGCAACATCGGTCAGAATGTCCTACCCTCCATGACCGGTGACGACTGATTCACCAAATGAGGCGGAAGTCCACAAGGAACTCCAACTCTTGAAACGCTACAAATCACCTGGCCCAGATGGCTTGCCTCCGGCTCTCTTTAAAGATGGTGGTGAATTTCTCGTTAGGGAACTGACGACGTTGTTTACAAAGGTTTGGGAACTAGAGAGTGTACCAACGTCATGGAATGAGTCGATAGTTCTCCCTATCTTTAAAAACGGTTCACGTCGTTCCTGTAACAACTATCGGGGGATAAGTCTACTTCCGAGCTATTGGCTTGTCATACTTCGTGGGTTGTTCCAAACCCGAGAAAGATTGACTCGCGAGGAGCAGGCTGATTTTCGTCCTGGTCGAGGATGTATTGATCATATCTTTACCCTCCGCCAAATGTTAGAACACCGTCATACTTATCACATGCCAACAACCGTAGTGTTTCTTGACATCAGGACGGACTTTGATTAGTTGGACAGGACTGTTCTCTGGAGAAAGACTTCTCGACGTTGAGTATGCGGATGATATTGTCTTACTGTGCGATAATGTCCAAGCCATGCAATCCGCACTTAATCAGTTGGCAAGCAATGTCCGTAGGTATGGTATGTGCTTTGCACCTTCCAAGTGCAAAGTACTTCTACAAGACTGGCAGGATTCCAATCCTGTACTCACCCTGGATGGTGAGCAGATAGACGTAGTTGAGAAGTTCGTGTATCTGGGTAGCTGCATAAGTGCTGGTGGGGGTGTAAGTGATGAGATCAATGCACGAATAGTGAAAGGCAGAGACCAGGAATAACACTATCAACTCAAATCATTATTATTGGTGACACGTAGTGATAAAGATATTCTATAAGGGTTAGTCATCGAGGAGACGTTAAGAGATGAGGAGGGGATTTGATGATGAATAATATGACACCGAGTGCTGTTAGGGACGTGAAGGCATTTGTCACTTCCCGGCTGCCCATAACATGGGATGATATTTTCTCTTGAGACTTGAAAAAAGGACTGGAACAATGGTGGTTTTAACGACCCGGGAATATGACTGTAGAGAGCCCGTGAGACAACTTCTTGAGGCTGATCATATACGGCCTTTCTGAGAGGGATTTGTATTGTGTTAGCTCCGTACTTTAAAAAGCCTTGCCGTCTATTACAGAAATCTGTGAGATGTGACATTTTTGGGGTCGACCTTTTCTAAGCTTTCTTTCGTTGTGTTAAGGTAGCATCGCTACAGATGCTGTTTGTCCGAAGGAAACACTTTGCTGCAATTACATCCCATTACAGTTAGTAGTTCGAATTCGCCCTCCGACCCTAAGTCGCTGCTATTAGTCTTACCACTCTCCAGGTCAGTCAGTCACAACACAGAGCCTTTTACGTATCTACATCGGTTCACGTTCCCACACCTCATAAGGAAGGAGAGGTAAAATTATCAGCCCACAATTCTAGACTAGCATAAGTAGTAACAGCATTAGTGATAATAAGAACCAACCTGCTTAGTACGATAAAACTTAAAGGAACAAGTGTTTCAGCAACTATAGCTCAACTGAGTCATCACGATAGACAAGTATGACTACCACATTACGGCAGTAGCTACGATTGGAGTTTTTCTACATCAATCAACTCCGTAGAAGACTCGTGCTTGTTATGATAGAACAATAGACTCAATAAAAACTCGAATGAATAGCCGTTGAACAGTTCAGAAGCCGAAACTCGAATAAAAAAACTAAACACTAGAAACACCAATCAACTGACTGGAAGCATATTAAGTATTGATTTTTTCGACATTTAACCAAGAAAATGTTAAATGTTATGTATCAGATCTTATATAACTAGTCTAGGGTGAAAATGAGAAACAGTGAATCTAAACATCTGTCTGCTGCATCAGATTTCGAGAAAAAAAGCTACATCTCAGTTCAATAAGAAAACATTAATTGTTAGACATCGGATCACTCTGCACAATGTAGATTGTAAGCGGGAAATAAAAAAAATCGTCGCTTACTATACTACACTTACCAAAGGATTTGGTCGAAACCGATAAGCTAACATCATACGTTTCCTGTATGCATCGTACTCATCATCTTCTTTTATTAATTTGGAAGGACGATCAATTCCTAGTCCTACACCATCAACGTGGACATTCCCCCTTTGAATAAAATTTCGGAAAATTGAACAAGTAATTAAGTGTTTAAACACAAATCTTTATCCCCATCCATTCTCAGAAAAAGATATTAAAAAGAACAGATCATGGTGAGCGATAAAATTCTGGACTCACTTATTGACTGGATTAACAATACCTTGACCATCAATGCCAAGTCCTTCACCTTCTTTCCAACCCATTTTTTCTAACATTTGAAAACCGACATTTTCACAAGTTAACTTGAACTGTTTGTATTCAGAAAAATCCGGTTCCCGACCTTCTTTCAATGCCTAATTGCGAATTAAATAAATTCTAAAAACTACCTCATATTCAACACAAAAATAAGCAATGTCAACGGTAAGCGAAAAAAACTGGAAAGAAGACTAACAGGAACATAGTGCATTGAGAACTATCCAGTCAACATTTATTTATTCAATACGACACTCGAAATTCATTAAACACTGTACGTGCAGATTCAAAAACATACTTATCCCCAGAGATTTTTAGTTTTGAAGCTTATCAATATTGAATGTGTTAATGTTAGCGGTCAAGCAGTCTGAGAGAGCAATATTCTCTCGCCGTGAAGTGAGAGACTCGTGCTTGGATCGTAACAGGATTTCATACATGGCTTTCATGCTGGAGAATGATATGCTGAGCCAATCAAACATAAGTGAGAGATGGTGGAGAGATTTGTAGCTCAAGTGGATGATTCTGATGGGTTTTTTTTCTCTGAACTGGATGGTTTGGTCGTGGAGCTTTCATCGTTAATCTGAACGACATCATCTGTACGAAGTGAAGTGTTCGAATTTCTCCACATATGGCTCACAGCTTGTTCTGTCTACAGGACAAGCTGTGAGAGATGTGAACGAGCACAGTCTTAACTTTCGGAGGAAAAGACATAAGTTGTTGACTGAAAATCTGCTTTTATTTCCTGAGGGAGATAGATATATATTTATGAATGAGTTGCGCATATGTTTTGATTTAGGTTAGCCAATAAACTTTCTCGATTTACCTTTGGTTTACTCACTCGGATGTAGGATGCGCATACATCACTAACAAACTCATACAACCACAGAGTATGACAGAAACATATTCGTGAATCGAACTCTGTTGTGTACAATAATAATTAATAGATTTGAAGAGTAATTGAAACAGAATTGGACTAACCTAGATCACGTTTCGTTCCAGGAATATTAGCATTTAGTGTTGTTGACTTAGCTTTTCATTATTTTGAAAAGCGAATGAACCCACAGGAATTTTTGCAATATGAGGCAGAATTTTTTCAGTTAAACCTATCAAAAAAACCACTGAATTTACCAGCCCTCAAAACGGAAGCTGACGATTCAAGATTTGCGTCTTATGTAAATTCATTGAAAGGAGCTACTGTTATTTCCTTGCTTTTCTTCCTATTAATGATTTCTACTCTGGATTATAAACTGCTTGTAATTGTGTTGAATAAAGCGTTGTCTAGCCTGCACAATGGTGCTCTATTTTATGTCGTTAAGTGTATACCCGATTATGATCTCATTTGTACATAGCGTATCGATCGAATATCGAGGTTTAGTCGTGGTACAATCTGGGTCATCAGTTTTATACCATTATTATAGCATGGTAAACAGAAAATGTTCGTATTATGTCGTTATATTAACTATTAAAGTCTATTAGGCATCGACATATACAGGATGTGTAAAAACAGAAAAGAAAAATAGGATTCTTTAACAGCTGTTCCGATGGCCATGAAGGTGAACACCCAAAGTATTCGATTTTATCAAAAGAGAAACGGTTCCAACGATTGTTGAATTTCTCCTGTTGTACAAATACGTCATCAACAGTCGAGCTGTTCGTGCCTTTATGACGGTTGATTCCCCGTGGTGACATGTGCAATAACTGAAGCATATTTTAATACATATGAGAATAATAATTATGCAACTTACACGGAAAGTTTCCATGAAACGCTCTAATTCGTCCGGTGGTAGAAAGTCCCCAATATGATGTTTTCCATGACCCATTTCAGTTAATTTCTGAGCCCATTCTATAAATTAAATAAAGATGTAAGAAACAAGTAGTGTGGATTAATAAATCACAAAAATCTACACAGTGTCACGAAAATGTTATGTGAATAAAAGGCTAAAAATATTCTATGAAAGGAAATTTACAATTTAAAACAGAAACTGATCGAAATAAAATACATATTAGATTAATCATATTTCGAAGTCTATGGGAGCAACACGAATATTTGCAAAAAGATGTACAGTGTGTGCGTTGTTGCCTTATCATTAAATGAAAGATGAACAGGTTAACAGGACTTTACTCATTACTTATCTCACTTCGCGACCTACTCCTCTCTAATACGTTTTCTTAAAAGTTTGTTGATTCAATTGTTAATTGATAATGAGCACAAAGTTTAGTAAATTCTTGAGATAAACTATGCGAGGTTGATCTTCACTCTTTTTCTTATAATCCATATTATCCATGACCTTTATGTATATTCATAATCCCATTGTTTCACTAACCAGATCCGTAGTTGTACTATATTTTGTAACAGAAATCCACTTATTCTATGTTACTATTTGTACACTAAGTACCTACCATTCTAAGGTTTACAAAATATATCTAAACTATAAATCTCAACTACAGGAAGCTGAACATCCACTGGGAGTACAGAAAAAAAAATTACCTCGGGTTGCCTCCATTTCCGCTTGTCTTAATTTATGCTCCCATGTTCCATTTTCACAGTCCTCGTCGGAATCATACTCATATTTGATAACTAAACCATCCTTCGTAATTCTTGTTTTATTTCCATAATTTACACCCTCAATTCGATTCATAAGTTCTTCCTCTTTAGACTTTGATCGTTTTTGTGCTAAAATAAACTCTTGCATAGCTTGAAGCTGAGGAAATGACAACGTGTAAAGATTTAATGTTAATTTGATTGCAAATTACTAATCGAATCAAAAAGAATTATTGGAATAAAGTATTTGGCAACAGATGAGATCTTTTGGTAATTTTGTGAAAAACCATCAAAGACAGAACTGAATAGTTAATTCACCTAGTGACTTTTTAGCATTACACTCATAATTTCACCATATCATATTTAATCACGTGGTTACACCGTTAAAATGGTGAGCGATGAATAACTGAGTTAGATTATAATAGATGATATATCTAATTGAGATATCTTCCAACTTACTGACGATCAAATGTAAGATGGCACGAAAACGAATAGGCACTAGAGGACTATAAATGACTATATTGTCAGTCGACTGCACTAGTAAGTTAGTCAACTACACGCAATGTAGAACCAAGGCTAGTAAGCGAAATCAATATTGTTTCAACAAACGATAGTTTTGAAAGCTACAAGATAAACCAAATTAAGTTTAATTCGTACCTCATATTTGATTGTTTAGAATATATATTGCTGTGACAAAATGTATTTGATTTGTAGGAATGGAAAGATGGTTTCATTCATAATACCTAAATAGAAGGCTGATATTTTGGTATCACTAGTTTGAAATAAGTCAAGTAAGAGAGCAATTCAAGGGAAATTTCTCTAATCTCCCCCCGGGTGAACAAGTAACGGTAACCTTTCTCTTCAACTGTGACCACATAAACGGAGTATCAATTTTAGGACAAAGGAGAATACATTATTAATCTTGAATCAAAATTGGATACAGATGGGAGAGATAATTATTAATCACCGTTCGAAAAATCAATAAGAATATGGTTAAACTATGATCTAGAGCAGACGATAATAGCAATGTACTTCAAAGCTTTACTACGAACCAGCAAAAGAGTATTTCAAATTAAAGGTGCAAGAGACTCAACCAAGGCTCTAATCCAAGACGCTCAAAAGGCTCACCATCTTGCAAGCATTTTCATTAAAACAGGAATGTGATCTGCGCACTACGAAGCGTTAATACAAAAGACCGACGACTGCAGTGCATGTGATCGCCATTTCACCAATATTTATAAGTACTTATCTATCTTTATTGACCAGAACTTGATACATTATATTTTCCGACTTCTAACTGTTATTACTAGCATAAAAAGTTGTAAAGATTGATGAATCCTGTAGTTTTACTTCTCTTGCTAACTAATGCTATCTTTGGTGCAAATAATGTTCTTCTATATATCTATCGAACAGTGGGTATACAACATTCTAACTTGTGTTACTTCCCAGCTGTGAAGTATGGCTTTCGAAAAAGACGAAAGTGAATCGTAAGCACTTTATCATTTATGTTTTTAAAGCACCGTTTTTGCATGGCAGAATCTCAAGATGAGCGCTACTGATGTTATATATAGACTAGAGACTGGTGGATCCTTTCTTAACATGGATGTATGCAGCACTGTTTTTCCCACAAACGCAAACAAAGCTACATTGGTTTCACCGGACGACACTACAGAAACCTAATCGATATTCGTATCAATAAAAAATTTGGAGGGTTCAAGAAAGACGTAAGGACAAATAAACTTATTTCGCTTCAGATCATCATTTGGTGGCGGAAAAGTTGGTGAAGCATTGGACTACTGGACAAACAGTACTAAAAAATTTAGTACAGTTTTCCTTCCATATGCTCACAAGCTCGGCGAACTTAAGATAGGTCTCAGCAACAAGTTCCAAGCCTTACAAGATCTGCTCACAGATGTTGTGACTGTGGACTGCAGAATTAGAGCGCAGTGTATTATCGATCGGACCAAAGACGCGTAAACACGTAAGAACGACCTACAGTTCTGATTGGATCCGCCTCCCTGTCTAGCTCAGCTAGTTGAGTTCAGAACCCAATTCTCAACCTCTGAGATATGAATCATTATATTTCAAACACTCTGTTTATATACCAATCAAGCAGACCACATCGTACCATAAAATAGAAAATAACATTGTACAATATTGACCAGTAGGAAAACGACACGTTAAGTAAATATTGACCAATAAGAAAATAATACCATCTCAAGTCCAAGGATAGCATTAGACTTAACAGAATAATCTTTGGGATATTTCTCTGAATATCCCAACAAGAGGAAACCACTATGGGAAAATGGAAAAAGATTAAAGGAAGGATAACTTTAATATATCTGGATATGGTGGCATCAAAAAAGCACCAGAACACCGAAAAGGTCTCCGTCGACAGCCCGGACGGCGAGACAAGAAAAGTCAATAACAGCCAGACAGAATCAGAGCAAGTCAAGGCACAAGTTGAAAATACGAAAGTAAATAAAAGACGTTTTAAAAGCATTAGAGTTGGGAAGAGGAAACATGTATAAGACCTAGCAATGACAGAACAGGCTGCAACAGAAATAAATTTGTAAACCATATGATACGACAAAGAAGTGAGAGGGGAAATACAGTAAACAAGAGCGACCAGTCAATAACAAGAAAGGGAAATCAATAACTGAGGTTCAAGAGCAGTCAAACAGGTAGATAGAGTAATTCCGTAAAGCACTTGAATAGATCAGGTATACCGAACCCCCAAAAGCATCAGAGAATAAACAAACCTCCACGTATACGGTGCTCCACCAACAATACGATAGAATATATCTGGGTAGCATCATTGATAAACAAGGAGGATCTGGCTCCGATGTGACGGCACGAATTAAAAAAGCAAGGGTAGCATTACTACAATTGAAGAATATCTGGAACTCTAAACAACCGTCACACTCAACAAAAGTCAGAATTTTTAACACAAGCATTAAGAAAGTTCTATTTTACAAAGCTGAAAATTAGAGAACTGCTACGACTATCATCCAGAAAGTACAAATATTTATAAAGTTAGTTACCCAAAATACTCCCAATCTGTTGGCTAGAGGCTATCGACAGTAACTTACTGTGTCAGAGGACAGATCATCTACCAGTTAAGGAGAAAACCAGAAGACGATAGGACTGGACAGGGAAACATATGAAAACCGTTGAACTACGCCACAATGCAAGCTCTAACTTGTAATCTTCAAGGCATGAAGAAAAGTCATACCAAAACATACGTGGTGCTAAGAATCAGAAATAGACATCAGAACAATGAATAGAACTTGCCAAATACTAGGAAGAAGAGCTGAGGATAAAAACGATTCCAGACCCCTTATCGATGGCCTAAGGCCCATGAAGGATAGAGAGTCTAGGTAAGATCAGTTTGACAAGTGTAGAAAATTGTACAATCAAAAATGAAAGTAGGACAATTTTTGGTTACCATTGCTGAACAGTCTTCAAAGCGAGTTGAAATTAAACGATCTCCATTGGCGATGGTGGAGTTTGTTATTAATATCATAGGATTTCGTGAAATTAAGGAACATGAAACTTGAAGACACTGGTGCAGAATACTATACCGTTTAAAATGTAGTCACTCATTAAAAGGAATACCACTAAGTTATATTATTTAAGGACAAATCAAGTTGCGGGTTTACCCAAACCATAAACGTCGCTAAAAACAAAGCTTTGACCGTTAAAAATAATACATATCTTAGAGAACCGATATAAACATGCTGTAACTGGCAACGTACTTCCTTTTGATAACGTATTTGTTCAGCTTGCTCAGGTGTAAGTACAACACCGCCTGTGAACTGATTTGGATTAGAAGTAGTTCCTAAAATCAACAAGCACATTGTATCAATAAATAGAGAAAACACCAACTCAGAGACAAAAATAAAGCATCTTAGCCTATTTACAAAGCAAATACTTTCACATGAAATCAAAATAAATGAATTTCCAGATAAATTTACTTTGACATTAACTATTCAGACCTTAGGTTACAAAGATCAAACTTAGCAAGAGAGGGAAAGCAGCAGATAGTGATTGGTTGACTCTCGGAGTCATGAAAGTTAAAAGTAGTTCCATGTAGTCATTAGTTGTTGGTAACCGAACTAGTATGTGAGAAAAGATAAGGATTTTCTTCGGATGACCAAAGAGCCATTAGTTTGACTGGTATGGCTTTTAAAATATCAGCTAACATAATAATGAAGTGTTTTACTATAGTCTAAGAACAATAAACACGAAGAAACCAGAGACATTTAAGAACTATGTGAATGTATAGACTAAATATTTACCATTCGAGTCGTGTAGAAAGTGGTTGCCTACATACGCAATTCGAAAACAATCTCGAGGCTCCCGACACAGTTTAAGCTTGACCAAGGTCAGAACAAGTAAACTAGCTGGCTTGATAGACCTTATCTGTTTCTAAAACGTAAATTAACACAGTCTATTAAACAGTGGAAATATAAATATAAATAACATACCGAACAGAAACTGGACGACAGGAAAAATGAATCAACAAAACTTAAAACCGTTTATGACAAACATGAAAGACTGTAATTAGTGAATAAACATGGTCTATTCACATAAAGTCAGAGAAAGTCGTGGTGGAGCGCTTAATGCTACCATTGATGAACTCGTTTATCGACCACGACTTACACTCCTCCCGAAAAGCCAATCACCTCGATCATCCTGGATTATCAGAGTTAAAAATGGCTTCTCCAAGTATGTGTAGATCTCATACATCTCGAACTATTTCTTTAATTGTCATCCTCAACCTCGCCGTGCGGACCCATCCGTCAGGACCATAGCTTCCTCGCTCGGCAATGGCTTTAGGTCATAGACTCCTACTTGCTTCAATTTTGCTAACGAGTAATAAATTGCTTGGTTGTAATTGTTTTCATATGTTCAACAATTTATACCTCACTTGAATGGTAGGCAGATATTCTCGTATTCGTTTATTCCAAAACACGGTAGTTAACCTCTATGCTTCCTCAGATTTATTATATAATAAAGTTTTGTCGGTGAATGCTGGTTCAAATGATAATATTTTATAAATCAACAACTTATTCGGACTAAGCGTCTCCAGGGTGCCAGAGTTATATGTGACCTAGATGTATCTCCATTCGTTTGGTGTGTATAACTCATATATAGTTGCTAACCTATAACTCACAAACCTTTCAAACCTTTTAGTCGTACCTTTTATATAATGAAGCACGACCAGCGAACATGTCCAATAAGTGACCGAAAAAATGGGGGTATTTAGCTGTCCTTCTACATGCTTCTTAATCTTAACACATAGCACGCAGACCGTTAGCTCCATTCTAGGTGTCATAACAAGTTTCAAGGAAATGATCCTAGACTTAGCCAGTGCAACTGTAGCGTTTCTGACTCCAGACCAGAGGGTTGCGTGTTCAAATCACGTCGGGCTCAGCAATTTCTCTCCTTCAAATGTCCTGGTACGACCGATGGTGAAGACAGTTTACTCTCCTCGAATCGCTCCCACATGACCGCACGTACGCAGCCACTGTCAAGGAAGTCCCTCTCACTGCCTTCTCGCGGCGGTGTTGTTTACGAAAGTGAGTGAACGAAAAGCGAATTTCTGGTGCTTTAACCGGGTTAGAGGATATGGAGGACCCACCAAGGGGAGTAAGAAAACCCTGATTCCAAACCAACGGTGCACATAGGCTCCAGGATCCTGAGGCGACAAATGGTGTATGAACCTATTGTTGGTCACCAACTACCATGAGACTTTACCTCTTAACGTTTATCAACTGTGTTGTGGGTTAGACCTTTAGGTCAAATGCTCGAGATGTGACATCCTAAGAAAACCACCTGCTTCGGCTTGAGCATCCAGGCAATATTCCAGACCTCAAACAAATCGAATGATTTTTGTGGCGCACATATATTTGGTTCATCCTTGTACAAATGTTTGTTTAAATAATAAATAATAATAACAGCAGAAATGAGCAATTACTTCGACCAAAAACTATCATAACGAATAGATCTGATAACACCATATGCAAGCTCGGAAGTATCAGCGAAACAATGAATTTGAACAGATAATGGTTCAAATTTTGGTTTTAGGTATCTTGGTATTAAGGCACTCAACTCTTTTATATGCCTACACCAAATGCTCCACTTCGTTTGACAATCAATGGGTAGCTCTACGCCTCAGTCTAGTTTCTGTTGACAGATATCTTGTAAGATCATTTTGGCTGGCAATACTATTGGAGCTATAAACCTAATCGGATCAAAAATAGATGCTACATACGAAAAAGTAATTCTTCTAGATGAGTTTCTATGAAATGCATGGACTTCGAAATACAATTCGCCAGTTCGGACGTTTAACTCCAGTATTTTTTTACTTGCCTCGTTGGACTCACAAACGGAAGTGTTGCCTTCAATACGGTCTTCCTCTAGAATGAACTTAAGCACTGCTATTAGTCCATTTAGTTAAGTTAGATCCTCCTAGGCTTAGAATGCTTTTGAAATGTGAATATATCAATTGGGCTTCTCATATAGTCTCCACAACTATCAATAAATCGTCCACATAGAACTGTCCCTTGGATGTTTTCGTAATACATTTGAGGAAATTATCTTGATGATCATAAGTCGTTTTCTGCAAAGCAAACGTAGCGCAGTATGGCGATGAGGTTGCTCTGAACAGATGGAGTTTCATTATATAGACCTCTGGCTCCTTTCTAAGTCCCCTCCTGACCACCACAAATACCTGAATGTTTGGATCGTGTAGCGGAACTACTACTTGGTGACACATGGCTGTGATGTCCACCATAAGACTTATTAGTCGTCGCCGAAACCTGCTCAAGATATCTACTAAGTTATTGACTAAATCAGGTCCAGAATCAAGATTCTTGTGTCAAAGACGTCCCGGCATACTGAGCTGTACAATTGAACACAATGCTTAACTTGCTGGGCCTCTTGGAATAGAAAACGGGTGATGAGCAAGATACCAAATTCGATCATCGATTTGGTTATCCTTTACCTTTTTTAGCATAATGCCGTCCTACATGCCGAGTCATAGTGATGACATAATCTTGAAGTAACTTTTCATCCCAACTAAGTCGACCCTTAAAACAGCTAAGTCTACTTTCCGTTAATCTTCTGTTACCAGGTAGTTTACGTTCATATTGCTGAAAACAAAAAAGAAATATAAGTTTGATAAAGTTACCTTGAGTTTTTGCAGCAGCTGCAGCAGCTTTTGCTAGTGCAATCGCAGAAGCCAAAGAGCCATCCGGGAAATCTTTTACTGATCCATTTATTTTAGGTTCATTGGTTTCTTCGTCCCATCTGGAGCGACGTCTTTTGGTGGGGATAAATTCATCAATTTCTGATTTGCAATTATCTACAGCTTCAGGTTCTAAGACAAAAATGTGTTATTGAACATGAAGTTCTAAATAAACTGTTACTAAATACTAATTGTTAACAGCACATCTAGATCAAATGAATTTTACATTCAACCACATCTGGAAATCAGTGAAAACCTATTACCTAACTTAAATTTAAAAAAATAAGTCTGATGATAGCAATGACCCATTTTTTTTTCACAATCTTGAGATGGTGGGGAAGATTTGTAGCTCAGGTGGATGATTTTGGTGGTTTTGTTCTCTGGGCTGGATGGTTTGGTCGTGGAGCTTTCATCGTTTTACCTGAAGTTTGTGCTGATTATGTCGTTCAGAAGAACAATCAAAGCCCCACGACCAAACCATCCAGCTCAGAGAACAAAATTTCCACAATCTTGCACACGATATATAACCCTAGTGTGAGACTTACGACATCCCAGAAACGTGTATCACTTCGAAAACATAGCTAAGACAACAAAGTAGTTTTATATCTGCTTAGATTCCCAAACAACGCAGTAGTTAAATAACAGTTCTCACATTTTTAATGACAATTTTGAGCTCGACTAAGTACTCATATCGTTATTCTATATAAGAGAGAATCTAAGATGACAAGTAGAACAGTAGATACCAATAAATCAAGATAACAAATACAAGCATAGTCATTGTAAAAGACAGTGAATCTTATGTAGTGAGTGGTCTTGGTGGGAAAAGCCAATTTATTTTATGCAAAGTTACACAGTCATTAAAAAGGAAGAATGTATTTGTAAAATCTCAGCGAAAGAATTTGAAGTAATTCCAACGTTTCGCCTGGCAATCTGGCCCAAGCTTTTTCAAGGAAAACATAATCAAACAACAAAATTATCGAATATAAATAGGTACATGGTTCTTCGGTTTACCTATTTATATTCGATAATTCTGTTGTTTGATTATATTTTCCTTGAAAAAGCTTGGGCCAGATTGCCAGGCGAAACGTTGGAATTACTTCAAACTCTTTCGCTGAGATTTTACAAATACATTCTTCCTTTTTAATGTCTCACATTAACTCGGCGCCCAAATATTATGAAACTATTCGTTTAAATTTAAACGACAGTTCTTATTTAAAATTACAGCGTTTTTGGAAAATATGAAACTCATACATTAAATATATTATTTGCACATTTTCAGCCGTCCTGTACATACTTCTTCCTTCTTCCAATTCAGTTTTTATTCCAATTTCTCTCTGTTACCCTTCTCTTCTATTTATTTTAATCTTCTGCTGGCAGATATTCTAGTTCCGATTGCTGCTATATACTACTTATATTTGTTAGCATAAGCAACATACACCACACATATCGGTGATTTCATTTACACAGATGTCGCGCTGTTGGCTTGACTCAGATTGCAAAGACCAGATTTTTGAGTGTTTTTTTTATTTACTTCATTAAATGTCATTAAACCCATCAAATATTAGTATTACTAGTGAACGCTAAGTCATGTTTATGGCAGCTACAAGGACAGTACCAAACAATTAGTTAACATAAAGCTTGCTATTACAGTAAAAGCAGAAGGTCTAACTCTTATGTATTCTTATCTTTTATAATCTTCAAACGAAGTACGTATTCATAGTATACTGAAGTTTGATGAAGACGCTGACAAAATCCAGTTTTTCCACCACCTTAAGCAAACATTCCAGGGAAGTTTTGGATACGATTCTCTCCCTCCAAATGCAAACTATTGCTTCAGGACTGGCCTGCGCCTGTCCCTTAATGATAGGGAGTGAAGTAGTTGGGCGCGTGAACTGCCTCACTCACCTTGAACGTTCCACTAGCTCTAGTGAGTTGCTGTTTGATGAAATTACGGGACGGATTCCAAAAGCGCGGTTGGTCTTTGATAACTTAAGACTCTTGTAGCGTAGGCGAGATATCCGTCTGCCGACAAAAGGATGAGTTTACTGAGCAACATTTCGCACTGATCTATTTTTCAGGTGTGAAACACGGTCATTAGGAATAGAGGATATTCGTATATTACTATTATTCGATGAAAAGTCTTTGAGATATAACCCTAATACTTTTAGACCACAGAGTGAGCAATGCTGAGGTTAGGAACAGGGCACTTGGCAAAGACGACATATTGGTTAGTGAGGTTGTTGGTCTTCATCAACTGATGATTAGAACACTTACTACGTATACCTAACCACTGCCTAACTTGACGAATGACGCTCACTGGTGCAGAAGTAGGTTGGAAGAACGCTAAAGGCGGTTAAACCAAGACGTGGCATCAGGCTACAAAGTCCCTGGAAACTGGACTGAACCATGTAGACATGTGTAGATCAACTAGATTGACAAATGGTCAGACTTTTCGTGACATGGCTCAGGATTGTTCAAAATGACGTAGGTGCATTCACATTTTGTCCTCCCTGATAACCGGAGTCCCATAATCTGCTTATACTTTTCTGTTTTTTTTAATACCTAGTCTTTTATACTACTTGTACTGCTTCTACTTTACTACTCCAGAATTCGACTTAACTTTATCTCCCTGTGTTATAGTATAGCAACTTGGACTAAACATGTTAGATTCTATATTGTACACGACTGACAGTGATACAAGGATTAAAATATTGAAAACAAACATTTCAATACAAAAATAAAAGCGTAAATAAGAGTTAGCCTATTTCCAGGTGATATTTAAAGTGATTCATTTCCAAGTGTTATTACTTCCAATGGTTGCTATTTTTTCACATACTTTGACAAAATCTGACCATAATGAATCCAAACTTGGTGTAGTTTCAACTTTGATGCATCATATACCAATAATGTAGTTCCGCACAATAGAGTTGGATTTATTTAACTTATTCTACTCTATGCTGCCTCCACTTAATCGACTCTCTCAATGGAGTGTTCCGCCACACACAAACGATATCTCAACATATAAAGACTTGGTTTTGCCACATTTCTGATATTATTGTCTAGTCAAAACGTGTCTGGCTCAGTTTTGTGTAGTGGTGATTTGTTCACCTGACCAGTACTTTAGACAAATTGGTGAAAAAAATTCACAACATTTTCTTACATTTCTTCTTAGGCAACCTCACTACGACTGAATAGTTAACGAAGCCAAATTACTATCTACCCCAAACTCGACTCAATTTGAGGGTGAACATTTGAATAATGCAGAAGGACAAACCGAAGAGTACGAACTGATCACTTTATAGCAGTGAACAAACTTTCATGGAAGGGGAATCAAGGAGACAAGACTAAGAGGAATGGAATGATCGGCATCACATATTATTTTAATTCTGAAATGAAAACATTCTTTAGGATAACACTTTGTATTTTTAAACAGTGGGTGAAGTTTTTTACATTCCGATCCCTTCCCAAAGCACTAATCATAGTTTTGAAAATGACACATGAACACCAGAACAAATAGCTTTGCATTTTGACGTCATTAGTCCCAATCGTTTGCAGTATATCTACATTCGATTAATATGCCATAAAATTATCTGATAGTCTTAGTCACTATGATAGGAAATTACGACTGCACAACATGGAAACTTGCATATTTCCGCGAGCTTCACTTTCTGAGCCTATAAACCGGATTTTCGATACAACGAAATAGCTGAGTCTTTGAATAAATTAACTTTAATTTACAACTTTTACTAGTTTCCTGTGAATAATCTGCCTTTTATCCATGAACTATACAGGTGACTGACTATCTTACCGTATTGGGCTCCTAAGGACAAGTTTCAAGCCTAATTTATTTTGGTGTAAACGGTTGACACCATTGGCACTCACATGATGCAGTCTTGGGCAACGTGCGTAAACACGTACTTCGAGAGGTACATTATTGAGTAAATTACCAAGCCACGACTATGAAGTGACCTAAAATATAACGTTGATAAACACGGCACCAATTAATTTTTACGATATTTATGAATTTGATAATGCAGCTCGTGAACTGTACAGGCCCGCCGGCTGTGTATCATGGCAAAGATAAAGCAAAATACGGTAAACACGAACTTACTGACTGAACTACTGAGTGTCTTTTGCTTACGAACATCAGCCAATCTTTTTCTAAAGAACTTGTACTCATTAGTCTCTGGAAGCGTCAGGAACCTAAGAGAACATGAATTACGATCACGAGAACCAACGTACCAATACTGTATGCTATCCTCAAACTTCCTGATTTCTGCTTCGCAAAGACTGTGCGACATACCAGAAACGCGTAGGACCAACGATTCGATTGCCACCAAAACCTTTGAATCATCGGGAATAACTGGAAATATGGCACTTAGAATTCCATTCATAGAATAGAGAGATAAAAATTCCACACAAAGCAACTACCTGTTTCACTCTCCGTTTTGCACTGCTTGCTAAAAACAAATAGTTTACTGGTGTAGTATAAGCTACCTGTCAAATTCATCCGTATTTTCTACCTTTACTACCTAAACAGAAAAATGGACAAAATATATGAAGCTACATTCGGAATAACAGGCTTCTCAATAGATACTCTTTCTTGTTCAGCTAGAGGAATAAGACATAACTGTTTGATAATTACCTTGCATTTGCTTGAATAATTCCATAAAACTTCCATCATTCTTGAATGGTATTTTGGACATTTTCATGTAACGCCAGATTACTAATTATATCGTAAATCCAATCGACTCATCAAAACAAACAGAATCAATTGTTGTGGTCAAAGTAGAAGGAGCTTTCACTTCAAATGGTTGTGAACGGAATAGAAGAAGCTTTTGCTTAGCGGCCTTCCGCGTCTGGTGGCAGTGGATCACCAATACCTCAGGCAGGAACCTCTAAGACGCCTGTACTCGAACTTACCTAACTTCTATGTCCAGCTTCAGCTGATGACCATTGTTTCACTGTAGGAACCTGTGTATATGAAAACAAGCATGGATAAATTAGTTGTGATACATGAATTTCAAGTTGTCTAGTAAACTGTGATTAGCGAAGTGCCTCGGGGTACATTTTTGGGGCTTGTGTTATTTCTCCTGTGTGTAAATCACCTTCCTAGTATCCTAACATCATCGGTTTTTGTTGTATGCTGACAACGTCAAGATAAAAAGTAAATGTGGTGGTTTAGAGGGTCAAAATAACCTGGAGAAATTATCTGACTAGTCTAAAAATTGGCAGTTGTCGGCAAATAACGGTTCGTGATGACTCTCTCATAATTATGAACCTCAAAGACAGTCTTGACCTTTCTCTCAGTTTGCAGGACAAAAATGACAGGACGATCTGAGGTGCATTGAACAAGAAACTTGAACTTCCTAGAATAGAGTCCTTGACAGTCACACGGCTCACTCTAGGAAAGGAATCTAAGCATCAATATCACCCGAGTCTACTGCGTGTAGCACTTAGGAATGCTACAGATGTAGAGGATGTCCTGCTAGCTAGTCATTTACTGAAATCTGATGGGAACGTAGGAATACTGTTCGACACATCGTATTCTGAGCACAATCTCAACCGGAACATCCCTAAAGAATCTCGCGAGAAGTTTTTCCGCGAAAGAAATGTAATTGTGCAAAGTGTACCAGTGTAGCTGTAAATAAATCCCCAAAATAAATAGCTCTGTAAGTTTTCGACATTGGATGCTGACCACATGTTTTAGTGGACTCATCTAGCTGAAGGCGCTCGGTCAGGCATCCGCACCAGATCACGTGTGGTAAAGCCGTGTTGAACATCAACCGCAATCGCTAGCTAGATTAGATCAGAGAATTCCGATATATTGGTTATTGCCAAATATACTCTTCCGATCTCCTGGACTCTGTCTTTTGATTTCTCTGGGTGGGAACGAATCATATTGGAAGGTGTTACTGGTAGGAGCGTTGTCAAACACTGAATACCTGTGACATAATCATTGGTGAGAGCAACGTGATCTGGTACACCTTATTGCTACTGTGAGTCTGTTCCTTTTTGGGATTTTTATATATCATTGCCTTATTTTTTTATTTTTTTAAACATTTTGATTTTTTTCGTGTTTTTTCTTGGATATATATTTTTCCCCTCGTTCATTATCGTACTTCATATTTCATCATGACTGAACAGACACCTAAAGTACTCAAGCTTAAGACTTTGTCCACACCTTCGTTTCAACTGATGCCTTTCTGGCCCGACAACATCGAAGCCTGGTTCTGCTACGCAGAAGCCGACTTCCACGAGCACGGCGTGATCGACACACGTGCACAATTCCTCGCAGTAGTCAAGGCACTACCGCGCGAATTCAGCAGGTACGTAACACGTAGTATGTTTACTAGTGATGTTTCTGAACCTCACGAAACCTTAAAGCGTTCGATTCTTAAACGAGGAGACCTAACCGATCGACAAAGGTTAGATCAACTCTTCAATAACATCGACCTGCAACACGGTTCTGCGACGGACATGTTGCAATGGATGAGAGAGGTTATAGGCCCAAGAACTTTCGACGAAGGTCCATTCAAACAACACGTCTTGTCAAAACTTCCCCAACAAGTGCAAGCAGTTCTGGTCTCGTTCCAGAACAACGCCCTAGACGAGCTAGCTGCATCTGCCGACCGCATTCTAGAAATTACGAGACCTACTAACGAGGTATTTTCAGTCAAAGAAAAGCCTCACACGACTCAGAATGATATAACCGACTTATGTCACACACTCACGCGTTATTTTAGTCTTCGTACCGACCGTAAGAGATCGCGCACACCACGTAGAAGCATTTCTCGTAAGCGATCTGTCTCTAGACCACGAGAGACAGATAACCCCGACTGGTGCTTGTATCATAATCAGTATGGAAAGTCTTCCATAAATTGCAGAAAACCCTGCAATTTTCCCAACACGAAACCGACTGATTCGGGAAACTTCGAAGCCGGCACGCGTTAACGGCAACCGTAGCCGGCGAACATAGCCGTCTGTTATACGTCACAGATGTGACAACGAGAGTTCGCTACCTCGTCGACACTGGCGCAGAAGTTAGCGTTCTCCCAGCGAATCCCAACGATCGGCTTCAAGAATCGGCTCTAAACTTACAGGCGGCAAACGGAAAACCGATCTCTATGTATGGCAAAAGGTACGTTTACCTTAACGTGGGTTTACGCAAACCCATACACTGGATTTTCGTTGTTGCAGATGTTTCTATTGCCAATAATTGGTATGGACCTTCTACAACACCACAATCTGATCATCGACACTCGCAAACGGAGGCTAATAAACTTAAACACTAATTTGTCCGTTTGCGTAACTTCTTTTACTGGTTGCAGAGTATACCCAGTCACAGTTAAACATATGATAGACCCACTCTATCAACCACTACTCGATAAGTACCCTGTGATACAACAAACTCAACCGAAACTACCGTGTGTAACCAGCAATGTTACACATCACATCACGACTACAGGACCACCTGTATTCTCCAAAGCACGACGACTAGCTCCCGAAAAGCTAAAGCTAGCGAAAACCGATTTTGATCACATGATGGACTTAGGAATCATAAGACCGTCAAGTAGCCGATATGCGTCTCCGTTGCACATGGTCCCTAAAAAGGACAGCAACGATTGGCGTCCAACTGGTGTTTATCGGCGATTGAACGCGAAAACCATTCCCGATCGTTACTCGTTGCCTCACATTCACGATTTGACAGCTACCTTGAAAGGTACAACTGTCTTTTCGAAAATCGACTTGGTTAAAGCGTATAACCAAATCCCTATGGCTACTGACGACATACAGAAAACAGCTATCATAACTCCCTTCGGACTCTATGAACTTTTGCGAATGCCTTTCGGTCTAAGAAATGCTGCTCAAACATTCCAAAGATTCATAGACGACGTTTTTCGAGGTCTCAACTTCGTACACGCGTATGTTGACGACTGTCTAATCGCAAGTCCGGAGAGAGAATCACATCTCAGGCATCTGGATCTTGTTTTCGAACGACTACAAAAACATGGCATTACTGTAAACGTTCAGAAATGCTAAATCGGGGCCCACTCGTTAGATTTCCTAGGACACACTATCGATGCTCAAAATATCCGACCCCTTAGAACCAAAGTGGCGGCCATTCTGGATTACCCAGAACCAACCACCGTCAAGCAATTACGCACGTTTAACGGCCTGGTAAGTTTTTATAGACGTTTCATACCGAAATGGGCATTACTTATGAAACCTCTGACCGACCAACTTCGTGGAAATGCAAAATCCATTAATTTGGACGACACCGCACGAAAAGCATTCTCCACAGTTAAGGAACTGATCACTGAAGCAACAATGCTCGCACATCAGGACACCGAAGCACCCATTAGTATCGCAGTAGACGCATCCGACTCGGCAATCGGAGGAGTCATACAACAGTGGGTTAACAACTCCTGGCAACCCTTGGCATTTTTCTCTAGAAGGTTGCTGGACACCGAATCGAGGTACAGCACATTCGGTAGGGAACTCCTAGCTATGTATTGTGCTGTACGGCATTTCCAACACTATATCGAAGGCCGTGAATTCACTCTTTTCACGGACCATAAACCGCTCACTTTCTCGTTAAGCTCCCCTTCTGAAAAGTACTCTGCCCAAGAGTCTCAACAACTGGACTACATTTCGCAGTTTACTTCAGACATTCAACACATCTCTGGAGCAAACAATGTAGTCGCAGACGCCTTATCTCGCATAACTTCCTTGAACAGTTTCCAAGGAATCGACCTTCTTAAACTCGCCGAGCTTCAAAAAGAAGACAGTGATCTTCAGCACGAGTTATCGTCTACAACCCTTAAACTACGCATCAAACAGATGGGAACAAGTAACGAAACCTTACTTTGTGACACATCTACAGGTAGGGATCGCCCAATCGTTCCGAAACATTATCGACGCAATGTCTTCAACACATTGCACAAACTTTCGCATTCGGGTGTTCGTGCAACCATCAAGCTTATAGCAGAACGGTTTTGTTGGCCTGGCATGAATAACACGTGAGGGAGTGGGCACGCTCCTGTGTAAGCTGCCAAAAATCTAAGGTTATCAGACACAATAAATGTCCCTTAGGCTCACTTAAAACTCCCGATGCTCGTTTCGACCATGTTCATCTGGATTTGGTAGGATCTTTACCAGATTCAAATGGATACTCTTACCTCTTAACCTGCGTAGACCGTTTCACTCGATGGCCAGAATCAGTACCTATCAAGGACATCACTGTTGAAACAGTGGCCCGCACCTTCGTCGAACGATGGGTAGCAAACTTCGGCTGCCCTTCAACCATCACTACAGACCGCGGACGTCAGTTTGAATCTGATCTTTTCCGTCGTCTGACCACACTTTTAGGAATCACCCGATTCCGAACGACCGCCTACCATCCACAAGCAAACGGGTTGGTAGGGGAATGGAAATGGAATGGAAATTCATCAAACAGTCGTTTAGGCTCAAAAACATACCTGCTCAACATGTGATGAGACTAGCGAAGGAGGACGGTGATTCTAAACCCCGGCTAATGAGGATTACTTTCCCATCCTCCCATATGGCAGCTGCAACTCTGGAAGCATTTCGTACCAACAGACGTCGGTTGCCAACTGGAATCCACATGCACGCGGACAGGCCATATGAAGCCAAGACCAAGCACAAAGGTAAGTCGGAGCCGATAATTACACTTGTGGACTGTCTTGATGATAAAAAAAACGTGTAAAGGACAGAACATA